GAGAGAGAGAGAGAGAGAGAGAGAGAAATTTATCGAAGTACCTTTGTTAAAGCGTCCTAAACCAAATATTTCTCTACGCAAGGTTCCTTCACTTTACAAATTTATAATATGTATGTGTAAAATTACCAGCTAGTTAATTTCTCTCGCTGAGCGACTTTTCCTTGCCATTATTCTACAATTATATAAAAAGTGTCCATGCTTGTTGCTCCCCGTTGTAACAAAGAGCGAAAGCTAGCAAGTGTTTAAACGAGCCATCAAGCCATGAACAACGCATCAAAATGATTTATGAAGCCACGTTAAATACGACGATACAGTCGATGGAAAGAAACGTCATAAGATATATTGTTACCAACTAGATTTCACACATTAAATAAACGTCTAAATTTACAAAAAAGCCAAAGAAATGCGAAACAGCTACCTTGACCACTGTCGAAAACAACATTTTCTTACGACAAACAGAGTTGCAAAAAGAAGCACAGATCACCAACGCGCAATGCAATCGGTAACGATTCGAAACACACTGGCCCTGATTCGTTCGGTTAATCGGAAACAAAGGAAAGCACCGATCATCGATCCGATGACAAGTGACAGTCGCAAGTATCTTCTCTCTCGATAAGCGATAACGAAACACTGATAAAAACGTGGGAAACACTGATGGACAAGCGTGGAATACTCACGGGAGGACGCATGTCTCGCAGTTGATGAGGCACAGGCGATTGTGTTATTGGTCCGTGTTACACAGGCCGCGAGTCAACTTATATAGGTGCCGTTCGGGAGCGGCGGGGCCCGCCCATGGGCCCGACCACCGCCTCAACCTCGTCGCGATCTAACGACAAGGTACCAGGGTTCACCGCACCACCGCAAGCATCACCACTTTGGAAATTTCTAACGTGCCAATTTTCATTTCATTCACCGGCGTGCGATCCTCGTTGCGTAAAACTCGCACGCAGGGAAATCGCGACCACTTCGACGTACCCCTGTGTCTCACAATACGCGAAAATTCTATTTTTTGGAAAAGATCGATTTCCAAAAATTTCAATTTCCAGCCGGAAAGTTTCTTTTCTTTTATCATCTACAGTCTTGTTCGCGAAAGTTTCTGCCCAATCAATTTCTGTACAATCACGAATTTCATTGA